ATTTTGTATCATCCCTAGTGCCTTTTTTTTTTTTTGCATATAGTCCATTAAAACAGGATTATTCACTATATGTTATTTTGTGATCTACTTTTTTACTTAAAGTATGTATGTTGAACATCTTTATGCTACAAAATATTCTTCTATGACATTTTAAATGACTGTGTAATAGTCTGTTGACTGGATATAGGATATTTTTCAGTCAATCCCCTATTGTTGGACATTTAGGTGGTTTCCATTTTTTCACTATTGTAAGCAACTCTTATTACACTCTTGTTATTTCTTAATGTTTAGTTACAAAGCAATATATGCTCTCTCTCAATAACTAAAACAATACAGACTTGTGTAAAATAGAAAGCAAAGTTCCTCATTTCTATTCACCAGTGCTTCTATTTCCCACCATTCCTATTCCCCATGAGGCAACCACTATTAACAGTTCACTATGTCCTTCTGAACTCCTCTGTTCTCTGATTCCTTTTTTCCTTTTCCTTCCATTCTATTAACCTGCAGCCTTTTGTTTTCTGTTCTTTTCATGCTCAGCTTCAAGCCTCCCCACTTTCCTTATTTGCTGCTTACCCTGCCTGGGAAGCCAGACAAGCATATCTTTAGAATTATGTGTGAATTTAGACAAAATAATTTGCAAGTGAAGGCCTCACACCTCTGATTAAAGAGCATGAAATTTACGGGTTACCTTTTCTGATTTGCATGTTGACTGCTAATAGGCCTCCGAACCTGTCTCCTGGTACAAACTGGGTCAGGCAGTTAAATTTTCAAATAAGTGAGGTGTTACTATCTTTGCTTCTCATAAACTAAGAGGAAGCCACATTTAAAAAAACATTTTTATATTGGGGCACCTGCGTGGCTCAGGCAGTTAAGCGTCCGACTCTAGATTCAGGCTCAGGTCATGATCTTGCAGTTCGTGAGTTTAAGCCCCGCAGTGGGCTCCATGCTGGCAGTGTGGAGCCTGCTTGGGATTCTCTCTCTGTCTCTCTTTCTGCCCCTCTCCAGCTCATTCTCTCTCTCAAAGCAAATATATAAAATAAATTAAAAAAAGAAACATTTTCATATTAACTTTTCATGTGTTCCTACAACTGACCATGAAAGGAAAACTCTAAAATAGGAGATGATCAATTAGAGATTTTTTAAAGTGCATTCATCCATTCAGTAAATATTTACTGAGTGCCTGTCATATACAAGACATCATAGAGATATTGGGAATGTAAAGATGAAAGCCAAAAGCTCTTCATCTTCTTTTTAAGCTTTCATAAATACTATTTAGGAAGCACCCAACAGTGTATTTCTTTGTCTTCTTTGCCTGGATTCTCCTTTATAAACCTGCAGTTAAGCATTTTGTCTCCCAGAGATGTGTGGCAATAAACTCCATTCTCCGTCGGTAACACACTGGCACTTGAGCCTCTGTGTATTTCTCCGTGTATTTTCTTACCACCACAAGTGGAATTATCCTGTGGCAGCTGCAGCAGTATTTAGCTCAAAAGCAAGAGGGAAGTCCTCTAGCTGCCTACGTAGGTGGATATCTGGGGCATTTGGGCTCCCTCCCTTTTAGTAAAATTAAGTCCAGATATTTGGCATTGCAATTTACACCATTATCTAAAGCTCACGCTTCCTTTTCATTTTTTTCTTTCTTCTTCTTCTTTTTCTTTCTTTCTTTCTTTTTTTTTTTTTTTTAACTATAAAATTGCTGAAATGCCAAGAGTTTGTTTGGGTAAATAGGGAAGTTTGGAATGTTTTTAATCCTGTCCTCAGTGTTGTTGGTAATATTAGAAGAGCAGCAGAGCCATGAATACAGTCATACTCTTGGCTAAAGCAGCCTACCCTGACTTACGTACTCCTCACATTAGTTGACAGTGAATGCAACCTGAGCCAGCGATATGACCTGGCTGCCAAAAGAAGCAAATGTGATCTGAACCAGCATTAATAGAAGGCTGGTGGCTGGGACAAGTAAGGTAATAGTCCCAGAGTACACTCGGCAGTAGTCAGATCACACCTGGAGGATGGTGTTTCCTCCTGGGCACCACATTCTAAGAGTGATGTCGATAAATTGGAGTATGCCCCAGTTGTGCAACAGGTTGATGAATGGCCTACAAACTACATCCTTTGTGCAATAGTAGGAGGAACTGGGGTAGTTTACCCTGGAAACTAGAAGACATGTGGATGTGGGATAACCATTTTCAAATATATGGAGGGCTATTGTGTAGAAGAGTTGAACACTTCTGTGTAATCTCAGCAAGCACAACTTAGACCAAAGGGTATACATTACAAAGTGGCTGATCTTGTCTCCATAAAAGGAAGAATTTCCTAGCCCTTATAAACACCCAGAACATAGCAGCTTTGCAAGATACTTTACCTTAATACGGGGTGTTGGAATGGCAGCTGGCTGACCAAACATCAGAAGATTCATGAATAGGATGAGAAGTTTGGAGAGATGAGGTGATCCAAGATCCTTTCAGATTCAAAGGTTCTAATGACAGAACCTTAAGAAGAAAGGAAGTATTATTAGTACTTTTCCCCTAGCACCCATATAAGTATTCGCCACAGAAACTAGGTTAAAATTGGAGCTAAGGCCAAAAATCAAAGCTACAAGGGTGAAAAAAGAAAACCATAGGAACATTCTGTTTTCCTAGTGGTTGTGGATTTTGTGAAAAAAAATTTAGTAGTGTTTGTTAGGGGCGCCTGGGTGGCTCAGTCAGTTAAGCATACAGCTTTGGCTCAGGTCATGATCTCTCCATTTGTGAGTTTGAGCCCCGTGTTGGGGGCTCTGAGCTGTCAGCACAGAGCCTGAAGCCTGCTTCCAGTTTGGTGTCTCCCTCTCTCTCTGCCCCTCCCCCATTTGTGCTCTGCCTCTCTCTCTCAAAAATATATAAATATTTTAAAAAAAAAAAGTTTTGTAGTGTTGGTTAGTTTTTTCCAAAGCTAACCAAATGATTATTTTTTCTACCTTTAAGATTCTTTAGAGCCCTGGTGTGCTTTCTTTCTCATCAAACTTACAGTCTTCTAAGTATGTTGTTTTCAGGATACTATATTTTGCAGTTACTTTTAATTCAAATTATGAAGCAGAATTTCAGGGAATGGCAGCCTGTGTCCACATGTCAAAGAACCAGCCCTGTGGAACAACTGGTGTTTAGAGCTTATTAATCATTAATAATGTGGTAGCACCCAGTAAAATGTGTGCGTTGAGATAGCTTGGCTCTTCCCCACAATCAGTGAGGTGAGTAGGCTGGGACTGATCATTCTTATTTCATCAATGCAGAAACTGAGTCTTAGAGCAGCTTGCCTACCATGATCATGGGTGGAGCTGGCACTAGAATCCAGAACTTCTGACTGCTAGTCCAGTGCTCTTTGTAATTCTGTTTTTAATAATAAAGGCTATTGTGCTTTCCTAATAGTGGGTTTAGAGACTTACTTAAATGCAGAACATTGTTTTTCTCTTTTAACTACAGTGGTTCTCTAGAGTAGGAGGGCAGATTGATTTGGCCACAAAGTTGGCTTTTAACTTGAATGCTGTCCCTAGTTCATCTTACTTCCTAAAAATAGTCTTTAGCAAACATCACTATTGATGTCTGATGATAGTTGACCCTTTCCTTGAAGTATTGATGCTAACACTCTAAATAAAAATCATAAGAATGTATACAGAACAATGTTTGTCAACTAGGGTAGATTTGACTGGGTAGTGCAGCAAAATGCTTAGGAGTTTTGGCTGAGTCAGAGATCTGGGTTTAAATCTTTGTTCTGCCACCTATTATTGGCTGTGACATCATTATCATCTCATGGAGTCTCAGAATCCTTACTGGAAAAATGGGAATAATAATAAGACCTGCCTTTTTGGGTTGCTAGGAGGATCAGATGAGATAATGTGTGTAAAAGCATGAAAACCGTGTTGTTGTTTTTTAAAAATGTTTGTTGTGAGTTATTATCCATTGTCTTTTACTCATTTTTCTATTAGAGTATTGTTGTGTGTTTCCTATTTACTTTCACTGTGCTGTTTATACTCAGGGTGCTGAATAAATCCTAATCAGTAGTATCCCACTGGGCCAATAATCAGTAATAATTCAATAGATCAAGTGCCTTCTTGGCACGGATGCAAAGCGGCTTGGGGTGCCTGGCTGGCTCAGTCCCTAAAGCATGCAACTCTTGATCTCAGGGTTGTGAGTTTGAGCCCCATGTCCAGTGTAGAGATTACTTAAAAATAAAATCTAAACAACAATAAAGCTGCCTGAGACTAGACCCTTGCTAAGAGAGAGTGATCCACAGGTTGCTGCGGAGGCCAACCTGGTGTTTCAGAAAGCACTGCAGATGTTGTGTGAGTGTTGAATGAGTCACAGGCAACCAGGCCAAGAAAGGTGGGTGGGACCTTGGTGAAAGGGAACAGTTAAGTGAACAGATCTCTTAATCAGGAGGCGAGAGAGCAGAGAGCGAACTGAAAGCCAGCATTTGAGTTGTAGTAATACTTGTTGGTCTAGTCATGTAACTTCTCAGAATCTCAATTTCCTTATTCGTGAAAAGAAATAAATAATGAAGTCTACCTACTAGTCATGATGTGAAGATTCAATGGAGTAATGTTTGTAAAGTACTTGCTGGCACATCAACTGGCACAGAGTAAGTGTTCAGTAAATGTTAGCCACCGTAATCATTATGTGTAATAATTTTAATAATACCTTATAGTTATGAACCTTGTCATGCCAAGCATAATTCCTCCCCAGATCGTTGAACTGCGAAGAAGAGTGTCAGGATTCATAAACTACTCTTGAAGAGCTTTAAGGCAAGAATGCCAGGGCGGTATTCACAACTCCATCTAAGCACTACGACTCCACGTCTGCGCGGTGGCAGCTCCGAGCCCAGCTCCCAGGGTCACGTGGGCCATGGCCCCGCCCCGGCCGAGCCCGTCCTCCGCCGCTGCGGTAGCAGCGGCTGCGCCTGCGCGGGGCTGGGCGCGCTCTGCTGCGCGGTCCGCAGTGGAGGCGGCGCGAACAGCAAGGGGGCGGCGGATGGCTCTGCGGGGCCTGGCAGCCTCGGGGCCCAGCTCCCGCGGGCCGTTGGACGAGGCCGTGGCGGCGGCCGAGGAGCGTGGGGCGCCGGCCGTGCTGGCGACGGGAGGCGCGCCGGAGGACGATGAAGAAGATGAGGGCCGCGGCCGGGGCCTGCTGCGCTGGGACGGCTTCTCGGCCTGGCTGCACTGCGTGTGTGTGGTGGGCTTCGACCTGGAGCTGGGCCAAGCCGTGGAGGTGAGGCCCGGCCGCACCTTGCCCCCGCGCCTCGTTCGGGTTCCCGCTCCCGGGCGGCTCCAGCAGGGCGTGTGGCCCACGGGCCGACGGGTCTGGACCCCGGCCGCCGCGCATCCGGGCGTGGCTGGCCGTCCCTCCGCCGGTCGGCCGGGCTGCGGTCCATTGGCAGTTCCCGTGGGAGGATCGTGGGCTGCGGCTAGGGGTGAAAAGTTCTTTCTAGGCCCCTCCTAAATACTTGCTGAGGTTCGTTTTTGTTTGTTTGTGTTTTTAACCCGGTGTCACAGGAGTGACTAAAATGGGTAGCGGCACCCCGAGAAGGCTGCAGGCAGGATGTTGGCGACTTTTGGAAGAAACGAACAATGCCCCTGACATAGGGTGAACTATAATAGCCAAACCTCACACAGCCAACTTTTTTTAGACTCCTAGACGTTTCGGTCATTGCCAGTAACTCTTATAGTTACTTTAGACCACCCAACTTGAGCCGAAATGCTTATTTCAGCAGGATTTTCTCCATTTCCCCCTTTTGTTCCTCATTTCTATTATTTGTGTTTTTTTTCCCCCTTTACTGTTCTTTCTTGATGTTGCTTCTGAAACAGTTGGCTTGAAAGCTACTATCAAGATGAACACAGGGAAAATCCTTTGCTTGTGAATCTGTCAAGTTTTCCATTTATATGTCACCTTATTGAAAGGCCTTCCAGTGTTATTTATTCTTGACATTGTTTAGGATCCCTTTTGTAGCATAAGACATTGCTTGTTTTTGTGTACAAGGAAAACGTTATCAGAAGGAGGTATGTTTAGAAAATTTTTGTCTGTTTGTTTTGGTGACGATGGCAGATTTTAACAAACCATCTCATTCAGACTTTAGTGGAATGAGTTGGCTATGAAAATTGGCCAGGGAGGTTTTTCTTAAAGCAAAGCTACTGCTGTTGTATTCAGCCTATCTTCTCTGTTTTATCATTACACAGTTCAATACACACATTAAGTTTCCGCTAAGATCTAGGCATTATGCTGGTTGCTGGGCATCCAAATATGAACCAAATGCTTCAACCTGTATTTGTAGGTTTAGACTACAATTTAGAGGGGAACCAAGAATTAATCACAGCAGGAGATAGGGCCAAATGCCATGCCTGGCACATAGTGGTGTTCCATACATACTTGTTGATAGAATGAGCGGATACATGAACAATTCTGTATCTTACTATGACAGAAACAACAATTTCCAAAGACTTCAGAAATTTAGAAGTCATCTATTGTTTACATTGATTGACATGTTAACCTGAAGTTGTGTGTGTAGCAAAATACAATTTAACCAGAAAGTGTAGGATTGGGTTGTTATAGTTGATTGCATTTTAAAATAGCTAAATGAGATCCTTGTGGACTCTCGTCATTTGGGACATTATTTTTAAGGATTTTTTTTGACCAAATAAGCAACATTTAGCGTAATTGAAGTGCTACAAAAATATGAATTAAAGGACTTATTTTGAATTTCATTTCCAATGGGATATGCTACTCAACAGAGTTTTCTTTAGGTCAGTGGTTCTTTTTTTGCATCCTGGACCTTTTAAAAAATATGAACTCCAGGGGCGCCTGGGTGGCTCAGTCGGTTAAGCATCTGACTTCAGCTCAGGTCATGATCTCACAGTCTGTGGGTTCGAGCCCCATGTCGGGCTCTGTGCTGACAGCTCGGAGCCTGGAGCCTGCTTCAGATTCTGCTCTCTCTCTGACCCTCCCTCATTCATGCTCTGTCTCTATCTCAAA